TTTGTGCAAAGCACTTTACCCCAGAGCCTGACACATAAGCAAGCACTGAGAAAATGTTATTTTACTGTTGTTTTAGACTTATTACCCTTTCCTACTTACAAGCTGCTCAGACCCATCTGGGTCATACTTTGACTTCCTCTTTAGCCTCCTTACTTTACCCACCTTATCCTTGATGAGGGTCCAGGTAGCGTCAGCTTCATCCAGTGTTAGCAGGTGGGGGTTACTAACCAACATGGTGGGGTGTGGGAAGGATTGGGTAGGGCAGTGGCTGCTGCGGAAACCCCAAGCTGCCCTGCAAGGTGAGGACCCAGGCCTTGGGCTCTGACCTATTATTCGTGAGGTCATAGAGGTCCTGCTAGGTGATGGAGTCTTGGATAGGAGAGGACAGTAACTCTCTTAGCTTCACTACAGCCTGCGGTTCATATTCCTGAGTGACCTATTCATCCTGCTTTAAGGGAGGAAAATGTAGGTATCTTTTAGGATATGTTTATGTGTGTAGTTCTTGGTCTTCTAAGGAGACAGGATCAGGGCTTTCCTCCTTTTAGTAGCCTTCCTGAAGCAATTTACTGTCTATTTAGCTGCATAAGACTTCTTTGTGAGGATGAATAGGGATCCTGAAGGACATGAAAATATAGCTTCAACTTAGATCCAAGCAATGGTTCTCAACTTTGGTTACACATTGGAATTATCTAGGAATGTTAAAAATTATTGATGTTTGTCTATCTCCTAATTCCAGAGATTCTGATTTAATTGATCTGGGTGTGCCTGGGCACGGTTTCTAAAAGCTTCTTTAACCATTTTAGTATGCAGCCTAGATTGAAACCCATTATTAATGGGTGAGTTATAAGTACAGTGAAAAGCAGGCATGTGTGTAGGTGGGTGGCATGCTGAGCATTGACAATGTGGAGGATAAGACTCTAATTGGGATAATGTTGCCTTAGTAACTGGAGAGAATTTTCAGGAAATCAGAAATGCCCAAGTAAATTTGAGGGAAATTCTTTATGTTCTTCACTCTGTCTTAGGCTGATTTGTGTCTAGTTGCTTCTCTCCCACTCCAACTCTTACCTGTTATCTTTCCTTATGTCTTTGTCCAGAGGTCTCAACCTAGTATCTTACTGGAGAAGATAGAGCCTGGTAACTATTCTCCCACTCCGTACCTTATCTGTCCAAAGAGTTCTCTCAGTCTCTGTGGCAAGTGTCCTTTGTGCACATGAAGACCTCTTGCGTATAGGGAGTGTCCTTCCCTAACTTGATCCAGAGTATAGAGCTATCCCATAAAGTTAGCTGTCTAATGAGCTGGTGGAGGTGATATGAAGGTAGGGCCCAGAGAAGGGTTCTACTGTGGTAGGAAAGAGTGTTGTCAAGAAAAATTTCCCAAAAAAGATGTAACTGGCCTCAGAGGAAAGTATTGCTAAATATGTGGGTATTAGGTCTTTGAGCAAATATTTGACAGTGAGCTTTGTCCTATTTTTCAGGAGGGGAGTTAATATCAAATATATCAAATATTTGTTGAGCTTTTTTATGCTAGAGTCTATGCCAGATACCGTTGATCCTTTGAAGAAAGACCTCAGAAAAGTTGAGTAATTAGCTCAGGGCATACAGTGAGTTAGTGGAATATCTAGGATTCAAATCTAAGTCATCTTGATTCTAACTTAAGCCATTAAACAATAATTCCTTTTGGTGAAGGGAGAAATCAACATGTTCTTCTGTTCACGTTGTGTGGTGGGAGAGATGTATGCTAGATGGAAAGTACATGGTGGCTTAGTTAACAGGAAATGGGCAGGATGGGAGAAAAGCCACAACAGAACAAATCAGAAACCTCAAATTTCATGTTAAGACAAGTGAAACCAAGTCACTTCCTTTTAGTACATTTTTTATTTTCATAAGGAGAGATTATTTAGTGTAGTATAATTGGTACCTCTCTTTTCTTCAGAAAAGAATTCTCAATGAGTAAGACAAAGGTAGAGGGAAAGAGGCATTCACAATGAAAGTAAGCATAAAAGTGATAAAACTTACAGTGCAAGAAGGCAGAGTTGCAGAAGTACAGAGACATCGAGAGTGACTGATAAACAGAGATGGAGAATGGAGTACTTGTAGATGCTGAGGGGAGTCCACAATGAAGTGGGTTGATGAGGTAGAGAAGAGAATAATGGGTTGCTGGTGAAATAGGATGAGGAAGATTTATCTAGGATTTTTGTTCATAGAGATGGGCTCAGGAAAAATTGGGTCCTGAAGAATTGGGTCCTCCTCAGAAGCTTATACCGTCTGTCTTCTTTATCTTGCTTTCTTATCACTGTGAGTCTGTAGGCTTCCCTAAATTTCATACTGCTGTACACTGACATTAAGTAAGTTTCTTTCCTTTTGGCTCGTAGAGTCTGAGACTGAAAGTTATTGAAGGTAAACAGATGTCAACTGAGTCCTGAATGGAGCTGGTAAGCCCAAGAACTGAGTTGTTTGGGCCATATCCTGCTGCCAGGGTTTCTGGGGTCCCCTTGGAAAAGAGGCACAGATCATCTGCAGAATATTGGAGGGTTATCCGAATGGAGAACATGAGGGGAATAAATGGGAATGTTTATCCAGAGAACATGAGGTTCTTTGCAGGTACCTCTTGGGCACTACAGAATAGTATTGACAGCAAAGACTGTAGAGGAATAAAGAGCCCTAATAAGTCTCTTCACTTCTCTCAGGCTATAAGGATAATCAGATGAGTCCCTAATTTCTTATTTGAAACTTCTTGAGACAGTATGTTTTGGAGTTGGGAATTTGTTGATAAAAAGAAAATACAGCATATATATCATATATTAAGTAATATCCCAGCAGGATTTAGGGCAGTACCCTATAATCAACCTCATAAACATTTCTTCAGTTAAATGTATGAATATTTATACTAAATGAGATAAAGACTATGAATAGGGTCATAATGGTTGAGGTCAAGTTTTGGACCAAAGTTATAAAAAAACTTCTCAGGTTACTATGAGGCATCAGAGAGTGCTAGTAAAGCTTTATAAATACATTACAAGAATGGTATGTATGTAGTCTTAGTGCAGAGCAAAGTACAAATGTCCAAGGTTATAGATTTTTGGCTTGAAGAAAGAAATTCCTTACTTTGGATAACATACAGCTTTGGAACCAGCTACTTCGGAGAATTGTACACAACCAGGGATTGAAGGTGCCTTAGAAGAGTCTTCCTGTGGTGGGAGGGTGACAGAATTCAATGCTTATGAATACTGGCTGCATATGATTTCCCTTTTCATGTATCAGAGGGGAATGGTAAGAAATGGTGTGTGTGTATGTATGTGTGACATGAGATAACACACAGGAACTTCTTTATATTTCTTTATAATGTTGTAATAAACATCTTGCTGCATATATGTTTGTTCATATCTCAATTATTTTCTCAGATTTATTAAAGATAAATCTCTTTTAAGAGAAGGACATGGACATCTTAAAGAATTGTAACTCATCAGTATTTTGTCACAGTTATCCACGAAATTATGGCTTAGAGGACTTTTAAACTCAGAACTTCATGAAAAAAAATTAGTCTTGAGAATGACTGAACTAGCAGTTGGGGAGATTGTAGATATGCTCCTCATCCACTTGGGTTCAGTGTGAACATCTGAAAATTATGCAAATCTGAGCTATTTCTTTGGATCTTTGTAAAGGACCTGATGAGATCCCATGTGGCCGTAGAGATGGCATCATTTGCTTTTTCAGTTCTGCAGCTGCCTTGTCTTTGTTGTGTCCCATCATGCTTGGTCCAGCTGTTGGAGCTGTGTGGGTTGGGTTTTTCCAGGCTCCAGGTCTTCATGGCTATTTCTAGTACCTGTGGTTAGATAGTTTTCTTGGAGAGCTTGAGTTTGCTTGTTGCCTGTGCAGCCTGCAGCTTTCTCTGACCCACACCAGTGACTCCTGGCCTTCTATATAAGATTATCCTCATTTTGAAACCCATGCTGGTGTGTAAGACCTTTATATAATATTCCTTCCATTCTGCAGTTTTAGGTGAAAATGAATCTCCTGTTGGGTAACACTGTGACCCTTCCTTTTTAGTACCTCTATTTCGGCAGCTGCAGCAGTGTGAAATCTTCCTATTTCATCATATTGCACTGACATCATGTGCTATTACTGATGTTGACCAGGACAGATAGGGGTGCTGATGAGGATTTTGTTTGGGGAGTATACATTCTTGACTGAGGGTGCATAAAAGGGACGATTGGCAAGAGATCAAAAAAGTGGCTCAGTTTCGGGCAAGTAGATGATGTGGTTACAATGATTTTCTAGAACATCAGATTCTTTTTCAGTTGGATCCTTGGCCCAGGGAAAGAAGTTCTAGCTATTAATTCTTGGGAATTTGGTGGAAGTGAGGGAAGAGGAATGACAATTATACACGAGACCAAGAGGATCCTCTGATTTAGGAATGTCTTAAAAACCAGTGTTCTGGCCAAATTGGCATCACAGGGTACGTTATCTTTCCAGATTCTCAGAAGGTGGAGGATAAGCCTCTATAGCTCCATTCTTGAGGACAGGCTGAAAACAGAATCTGGCTTTATAAAAGAGAGGGCTGTGGTCCCAGACAAGTACCTAAGCATTTATCTTGAGAGGCAGTACCACCCTTTGTGGCAGTACCAAGCCCCCAAAGTTTGGGGTCTGTAGAGGAGCTTAGTTTTTCAACTTAGGCCAAAACAATGGGTGTAGGAGTAGGAAAAAAAGATACATTTCAGTTAGATCTTGTTTATTATGATTCCTCACCTTATTTTCCTGGCAGGGTAATGTGTAGCTCCTGCCTCCTGCCCTCCTCCCTTAGGCAGGACACATGGGTAGGCCAAAGGGTTCAGATACCAGTGGTGTATCTAGTAGGAGTTTCACAGCAAATATTTCTTATTGCAGTCATATTGCAGACAATGGAACAGACAATATAACCCATACTCCCAGACTCCAGAATTTCCTCCAACTGTCCCCTGCCACCTCTATCCTAGTCTAGCCTTCATTGTCATCACTGTCCACTAAAACTGGCTTTTCTTGAATGTAAAAGTTTCAAGGAGTCGGTCCCTGATCTGTTTGGTGCGGGCTCCATAGATGAGGGGATTTAGGGCAGGTGGCAGCAGCAAGTAGATGTTGGAGAAAAGGATGTGCACAGGCTTTGGGACAGTGTGATGGCCAAAGCGATGTGTGAGATAGGAAAAAAGACCAGGCACATAGAAGGCCAGAATGACACAGATGTGAGAACTACATGTACCAAAGGCCTTGGCACGGGCCTCCCGAGTAGGCAGCCGCAGCACTGTGTGGGCAATGAGCCCATAGGAACCAGAGATGCCTAGAATATCCACACCTGACACAGCCAGTGAAAGTGCCAGCCCATACAGGTTGTTGACTCGTGTGTTACCTACCACCAACTCTACTACTGCCATGTGTGCACAGTAGGCATGGTGTATGGTCTTGGCATGGAAGTGCTCAAATTGTGCCACCAGCAGAGGGAAAGGCACAACAATAGCTACAGCTTTCAGTATAAGTGCCAAGGCTGCATAACCCACACGGGCTTTGGTGACTAAGATAGAGTAGTGCAGTGGACGCCCTACTGCCACAGCTCGATCACAGGCCATAGCCAAAAGTACACCAGATTCCACAGCAGTCAGTGCATGTACAAAGAACATCTGAACCAGGCAGGCAGTGTATGGCACAGGTTGGGGCCCAAACCACAGCACAGCCAGCAAACCGGGGGCTATGGATGTAGCTAAGCCCAGGTCTGTGGCTGCCAGTGTGGCCAGGAGTAAAAACATGGGCTGGTGCAGTGTGGAGTCTATCTGTATCACTGCCAGCAGTGCTCCATTACCCAGCAGGGCCAGCAGGTACATGGGCCCAAACACCATTGTCAGCCAGGCTTGGGCTCCCCCTAACCCTGGAATACCAGTCAGCAAGAAAAAGGTTGGATATAGGAAGGTGGAGTTGGACTGTGGAGTTTCTACCATCCTGTAGAGGGTGGAGCTCTGGGGATCACAGGGACATGATTCTGGATAGGAGAAGGACAAGGAGATTTTGGATATGTCACAGTGGCATAAACCCATCCATGGAGTATGTACAGGAGTAGTGAAAGGCCAGGAGATCACAAGGGTATAATCTTTGCTTAGGGGTTTTTGGATGGATAATTAAGGTCCCAGTCTTAGCTAGGTTGGGAGAATCCCTTGCTCCTAAAAACCCGTAAGTGTAGCCAGAGAAGTAGGTGGGTGGGTGCAATGGTAGTGAGGAAGGGGAGTGACTACTATAGCGGCTGGTAGAGCGAGAACCCTCCAATTGGAGGTCAGCTGAGAGTACAACTTAGATGAATGCTCTTCTCTTTATCAGGGTGCAAGTAGAGTCAGTCTCATTCTTTGTATATGGAGGAAAAGCCAATGCTGGGTGGGGATTAGATTATTCAGTCCTCGATTTTGTATCCTTGGGAGGGACCTCTGGGCTTCAGCTTTCCTAACTCAATAATGGAGGTGGGCACAACAATTCTAAGTCTTTCCTAGCACTAACATTTTTGGCAGCAACCCTCCAAAAAGCAAGGAGGCTGAATAGAAAGAAAAGGAGAAACTGTAATAGGAACCCCTAGTGATAGAAGAAAACTTGGTGGGTTTTGGGGGTGTGGGGTGCTCATATTATTCTTAAATTTGATGCAGATCTTGTAAACTTGAATACCAGGTAGAATTGAAGTTGGGGTTGGGGAACAACAGAGAAAGAGAGGCATTAAGAAAAGAAACTTCCCTGCTCTGTCTTCTTTGATTCTTCATGATCTAGAAGGGGGTCCCACTAGAGTCTTATTTCTGGAGTGCCATAGAGGGGAGGTGACAAAGAGGGAGGACATGGTGCTCAATCCAGAGTAGTACGATTTGAAGAAGAATCACCTTTGATGTTGGAAAAGGCAGGATGAATAGACAGACTCCTCTCAAAATCTAGCCTCCAGCAGAAGTTTAGCAAATGTTGAATGAGGAAGAAGTCACCTGCAGAAGCTTGAGAAAGATACACAGCATTGTGTGATGGTAGCTGCTTTTCACCTTGACCAATGTCTGTGGGCTCCTTTATGTGGCTGTTTATCTTGTTTCCCTCAGGGCCTTTTCCCCTCCCACCTGTGCCATATTAACTCTTCCGTGTTCTGCCTCTTTTCTCAGTGCTGATGGGCCCAGTAACTCCGAGTACAGTAACAAGGCAAAGAAAAAAACAAGCAAGGAAAGAAATTATGGAGTGAAAAGATCTGGGAAAGAACATTTCCTATGGGAGGTCTTTGCTGACTCCCTGAAGTCTAGGAGAAAAAAACCTTTGTATTATTCTTTAATAGTATATGCCTGCCTCTGTTGTAATTAGTGTACTTTTCTCCCCCCTGCCCCAGACTGAAATAGTTATAGCATTGCTTCTTATCAATCATGGTATCTTCATTGCTTATTACAGTGTCAGGCATGCAGATGGCTATGAATAAATAGTTATTGCTTTTAATTGTAGGACAGAACTGCTAGCTCAAATAGCCTATGATAACTAATAGGGGCTCCTACAGTTTCAGGAGCCTTAGGTGTCCATGGAGAAGAGAAAGGGTTATTTACCATTAACCGCAAGATTACCAAGTACAGTTCTATTATAAGGAGACATATCCTTAAAATCACCATACTATGCAAAAATTACACAATAAAAACCATGGGGCTTATTGGAAAAATGGGATATGGACATAACATTTAAAAACTTCTCAATGACACATTAAAGATAAGAAACAAATACTAGAACTGTTTTACACCTGGTATATGGTTAAATACTACAATAAATATGATACTTTTCCTTGAAAAAGACCAGGAGTTTCCCTTGTGTGAGTGTTGGAAACACCTTATGAATTATTGTGAAGTGGTGAAGTGGGTTTATCTGGAATTGGGTAGAAAGTTTTAACACCAAGTATGAATGGATGTAGTTCATAACACAAATAGTAAGCTGAGGGAACTGATAAAGGCTTGAGGTGTATGCATGCTACGCTCTTCTACTCAGCTCCAGTCCCTGGGCACAGTTTTGAATGTTCTCCTAGTTTCTTGAAAATGGAATCACATACAAATTTACCTATAGTAAAGCAGAACTGTTTGAATATCTTGTTCCTGGACCTGTGCCATGTGGTGAAGATACAGTGATAAAAACAAGAACCTACTTCCTTCAAGGAGCTTATAATCTAGTGGATACAGTGATATAAGCAGTTGTTGAGAGCTATAAAGACCATTAACTCTGGTCAGTTATCAGCTAGGTGGGTAACACAAAGAAGCCTTTCACTCTTCCTGGAAAGTCAGTGGAAATCTTTGAATCAGTAATGGCTAAAAATCCTGTAGGGTTTCCGGTGTGCATGCACTGTTCTAAGCCCTAATCTCACTAAAGTCATTTGAGGTGTGTACAATTCTTTTCCCCATCTTATAGACAAAGAATCTAAGGCACAGAATCATTAACTTGCCCAAGAACACACAGCTATTAAATAGCAGAGTTAGGATACTAAAACAGTATGGCTTTAACATACTTAGTCATTACTTCAAGTATTTCAACTGAGATCTAGCACATGAGTAGGAATTTTCTAGAATAGTTGGGGGAAAATATACCTTCTCCTGGGACAAGCAGTTTTCGAGTCTTTGGAATTGGCAGGTGGTCCCAGGATTGCTAAATGGTAAAATGTAGAAAGGACTACAATTATTAGACAGTAGATGGTTTTCTCTCATCCATTGAGGGAGGGCAGGAAAAGGAAAACTCATGAGGTAGGTGTGGGTTGGGAACCATGAAGGAGAGATTGGGAAAAATGCTTTTTACTTCAAGAGAGCACTAACGAGACTTTTGGCTATCTTAGGCACCTGTTTTTTGTGCATAGGTTATTTATAAGATTTAAGTCAGATATATTAAGTCCCAAATGTCCAAAATTTAAGTACTTAATTTCTTGGAAATATGTGCTGTTTTGCTCTCCAGTAATCCAAGATATACTGGGAGACTTTTCTCTAGAAAATTCCTTGATTGGTCTCTTAAGGCCTTCAGCCATACTTACAGATGCTCTCTGAGCACATGTTGGGTCACCAGGCTGGTCATTCCCTGTAATTATAGGAGGGGATTTAGTAACATACCTGTGATCTTGTGAGGCTATGTTCCAGAACCTGCTCCTCAGAGGAGGATGCTAGACCTCTGCAGGGAGTGAGGTGTGAGGAGGAGAGAGGCCATTCACTGGAACTCAAAGTTATTTATTTTTTTGCTTCTAGGCTGATGTGAAAAATAGGATGTGTTTTCTATTTGGAGACTGAGCCTGATTTTTTTCAGTCCTTTGGTTAATTTAGTTACCACCACCTTCCATAGAATAGAGTTCTCAGATATTGGCACGTGTCTATGTGGACCTATTCTGTGATTTTTTTTTGTTTAAATTGTTCCATGAACAACAGCACATAAGAGCATATTATCCATTTTCATAATAGATTATGGATCAGAAAATCTTGGGTCCTAGTTGAGTGCCTCTCAACACTGAATTCTATTTTGGAGATCTCCTAAGGCAAATTTCCAATTGTGAAATTGAAAATCCCAGGTTAGTATGAGACTCCTTTGTGACTAGTGGCAGCATACTAGTTTGAGTCCTCATCTTTCCTCACTGTCAAGAGAGATGGAGGGACCCTGTAAACTCAGGTGGCACTATCTTATAGAGATATGGAAGGAGACATCAAACCACCACATCCATTCTGTCTTCCAGCATCACTTTCCTCCATTCATTTCAGGGTCCCTAGATCTTACATGAGAGGTTTACTCCATAAGTCTCTGGGGCACCGAGAGTCCCCAGTCCTTAGAATAGTGGATGTGCTTGCACTGAGGCCTCAGATTTGAGAGGATGTGTTCTCCCTCTCCATTATAATAGGATCTGATAGAATTGAAGTTCTGGTAGGGATATGGAATAGATCATATCTAATTTTTATAAACTCTTTTGTGATATTTTCTGCTGACCCTACCTACTTTTCCTTTATCCATAACAGGGCCATTTCTCCTGGTCACCAAATCTCTGAAACTAATGCTATCCTTGACCATATATAACCAGTGATTCCTTCTTGCTGAGGTCACAGTTGCTGTTCTTGTCTCTAAGGAAGTACTGTACCTGTAAGATTAGGCTAGGACCCAGAACAATGCCCCCTACCACATATCCAATAATTCTTTTCCTTCAATGTGAGGCATGGAAGAGGTTTTTTTTTGACTAAGTCACTTGGATTAATTATGGCTGAGGAAATCAGTGCTTTGTTGATTTATAAAAGGATTTTCTTATTCAAGACAAGATGCTTCCTGTAAGGATTCTCTAGCATTTGAAAGAGGGCTCTTGAAGTGACTCTTTTTGGATTGGGTTGAGGATGTATGTTATGGTTTGGAGCCCAAAGGCTCATGTATTTGAAATCTTGGTTCCCAATGGAGCAATGTTCAGAGGATGCCGTAGTCCGTCTGGGCTGCCTAAGTCCGGCTGGGCAAAATAACGGAGAGGTGACAAGCAACTTGAAGGTTGAAGCAGGAACTACTTTACTGCAAGTGAACTCAGCAGGAACTGAGAACTCAAAGTAGCGGGCACCCAAGGTAGCAGGAGCCGCTTCTCTGCCGGACTGCAGAGATACATATACCTAACTAATTACACACAGCTTAACTTAATTGACATCATCTAGACATAGCAGTCAGTCATTAAGTAATCCTCATCATCTTAATGGCTCGCTGGCTCAGAAACCACTCCTCCTAGCATACTGCCAGGCGCCATCTTAACTTGGTTGTGGCCCTCATCAAGAGGAGGCACTTTTGGGAAGTGATTGTATGAGGGCTCTGACCTCATCATTGGATTAAACCATGGATAGCTCAATTAATCACTTCGAGGTGGTGAAAAACTGTAGGTGGTGGGCATGGTTATAGGAAGTTCATCACTGGGGGCATGCTTTGGAAGAGTACTTCTTGTCCATGCCCCCTTTTTCTTTTTCTCTTC